AGCACAAATCTGAGCAAAGGGTCTAGATCTCTTGCTCTCTTCCTATCATCAGAAATTCTCCCTCCCGGGCACCTGGGTGGCTCAGTGGATTAAGCCTCTGCCTTCAGCTCAGGTCATGATCTCAGGGTTCTGGGATCGAGTCCCGCATCAGACTCTCTACTCAGTGGGGAGCCTGCTTCCTCCTCCTCTCTCTCTCTCTCTCTCTGCTTGCCTCTCTGCCTACTTGTGATCTCTCTCTGTGAAATAAATAAATACTCTTTAAAAGAAGAAAAAAAAGAAATTCTCCCTCCTACAGAAGGAAGATGTGTGTTATTCATGGAGGACGTGTGATCCTGAGAGACTGTGGTGAGCTTTTGCTCCATCTTAAGCAAATAAAACCCACCTCGTTTTCAGGTGTTCAAACATCACATCCTCAGGAAAACCTTTCCTGACCACTCACTCACCCACCCCAACACTGCACTGGGCAAAGTCCTGTGTGCAGTGATAGAAAATACAGACCATGTGTCATTTCACAGTTGCATATTTATATGAGCATTCCCTCAATTCCTGATAATGCAACTAAAATTTTAGCTCTTAAAAGGCAAAAACACGTCTTTTTGGTTAATGAAGTCTCCCAAGTAACAGTGCCTGAGATAGAGCAGACACTCAAAAGTATTCCTGAAATTAAGTAGTTAATATAATATGCACTTCCAAGGTCTTAATTTCTATGATTATGAATAAAATACAGCATGGAAACATAAAAATACATTATAATAAATAAATGTGATAATGACAAAATTCTGGACCATGGCCAGGAGATAGCAGAAGACACTCAGGGATGTACAGACCTTCCTGGGGCTCATGGAATTACATCCCCCTAAGTGACTGTCTACATATGGATGAGCTCTGTTCCATCAGTCAAAAACCAATCCACTCCACCCCAAAGAAGGTTTCACACCAAATGGAGGTGGAAACCCCATGAGCACCTGCTGATTTTCAGCAGTACACAGGCTCCACCACTAGGAAAGACAATCAAGTATTTGATTTCAGATCAGGGGGAATGTTTCAAATATGTAAAGAACATATGGATATGCACCCACAGTGCAAAAATTAAGGTTGCAATGAATGCAGGTGCTGTGGACACATTTCTGAAAGCCTGTATTGAATGAGAAGTTGAACACACACCCTCCCAAGTAAGACACTGGCAGAGGCTCCAAAGGCCAAGACAAAATAAACAAAGGTAACACTGTGTGTCAACTCTACTCAAATTTTAAAATTTGATAAACTAATAAAGTTTTAGGCCACCCTGCAAAGAAATGGATCCAAATGAATTAGCCCATCACTCAACCCAGATATAGAAAAATCTTTAGTGGGAAGGAGAAAAGAGTTTTCAGAGGGAGTTGTTAGCATCTCGGAATTTTCTCCACCCTCATGAGGGAGGGATGGGGACTGTCTCCCAGTTGCTACAAAATCACTGATAAAGCACTTCAGAAATACTGACTCATATCCATGAAGGTTGAAAGAGAAAGGAAGAACTGGTAGGAACAAAGGATCTGGCTCTGATACTTTCTGAATTTCCAGATCTCTAAATTAAGGTGGGCAATTCATATTACACATTTCCTGGGTCTTTTTGGGTCCTGGGGTTTACATTACCCTTCCAGTATCAAGGTCTTCCATAATGTTGTTTTGTGGACCACTGGGATGTTCATTCATGATCCTTAACTGTATCTTATACTCAGGGGATTTCTTCAGCTAATGGCAAACACATAATCAGTGCCTCAAAATTACACTCTTAGGAAAGTATTCCCTGATGAATCATTCATCCACTCTGACCCCACTATAGAGTATATACCCTGTGTCCTTGCTATGGACCCTCATAACAGTCTGAATTTTTCTTTCAGAAAAATCATCTTACAGTTTTATAAGCATACAATATTTATTAGTAAATTACTGATAATGCCCCTAAAATTGCTCTTTAAAAGCAGAAACACATCCCTGTGCTTAGTGCTTCCTCCCAAATAATAGTGTCTGGTACTGAGTACATAATAAGTACTCAAAAGTATTCTGGAAATGACATACTTAATATAAGATCAAATACTGACTGATCAATTTCTATGAGTGTGACCAGGTGGAGCATTAAAAAGTGAAACGCATCCAAAGAATGAATGGGTCTATGACAGAACTGCCCATCATGGAACAGGTAATGGAGAAAGACATTTGGAGATGGATGAATTTCAGGGGTTTGAAGAATCACATCTGGGGTACCTGGGTGGCTCAGTGGGTTAAAGCCTCTGCCTTTGGCTCAGGTCATGGTCCCACGGTCCTGGGATGGAGCCCCACATCAGGCTCTCTGCTCAGCAGGGAGCCTGCTTCCCCCTCTCTCTCCGCCTGCCTCTCTGCCTACTTGTCATCTCTGTCTGTCAAATAAAATCTTAAAAAAAAAAAAGAATCACATCCCCTGAGTGTCTCTTCATATTGATAAGGCGTGTTCCACAAGCCATAAACCAACTCGCACAACCTTGAATTTTTAAGACAATCATAACATATGCCTGGTCAACGAGGAACACTGAAGAGAAAATACATATAAGTTGGAACTGTCACTCAAGCTCTTTCCCCCAAATATAAATGACAATGTTTAGCATCTTCCCTCCTCTCATTCTCAACTCATTCTCTCATTCTCATTCCCTTCTCTCATTCACCCAAACTTGACCATATGTACAAGCAACAGACCATCAAAACTTGTCCATATTCAACCAGAGGCTACTTTCAGAGTTCAAATGGCTCCAAAACACACAGGTCTGGGAGACATATTTGTGAATTCCAGCTGGATAAGCCTTACCACACATCTTTTACTTTGAACTCTTACATTTTTTACTGAATCTAACATTTTATTTCTATGGTTAATAAGATGTAAATTTTAAGTCTCAGAACTTGTATTAAGATTTTATATTCATCATTTGTTTCAGCTTCAATCCATAGGGAAGGTATTGAAATATATCTCAGATAAAGGTGAAGCAACTGAGGTTTTTCCCAAAGCCACCAGGACAATAAGCAGAACCTAAAACACTGATCCCAAAATATATGCTCTTCAGCAAGAGGAAGAGGAGGTTTCACACCATATGAAAGCATTATTTCATGACCTAAGCAGATAAACCTCCCCTTTCAGGGTTACTCTGAGAATATAGCAGTACCTAGGCATGATCACTTTATTTAAAATAAGCACAGTACAAAAGGAGATGCACCCACAGTGCCTACAATTAAGGATGCAGTGAGTGAACTTTCTGTGAGACAGGCTTGACCCTAAAAGTATGTACTGAACAAGACGTTGAAAGCAGCCACTCTTCTCTTGTAAGAGATATGGCAGAGACTCAAAAAATAAAGAAACAAATACCTAATACAACCATATTCTAAAGGGAGGTGCTGGGCTATATTGAAAAAAGAACCAAAACTTGTTCTGCTGACAATTTCTTATGGCCCCTCCCAAGTTCAGTTAGAAGGAATACAGAATTTCTGGTGAGAGTTGTTGTGGTAGGCATATATTCAACCGTCATGACTCTGGGTCTCCTCCCCCCATTCCCAAAGACATAATTAAACACTCTATGTAAATGAGAATCTCCCTTCTGGGGAGCTGCTACATTTAGAACAGAAAGTGACATGTGTTCTACTGAGAACTGAGCAGCAGTCACCCCTTTCTCTTTTTCAGTTTCTTCTATGAGAATCCAAGCCATTCTCCAGTGAGCAGTACATGCTACCTGGCTAGTCTATGGAGCAGGAACAGCCCAGAAAACATCCAGGGAGCTCAAAATGCTGGGCACGTCTTTCTACATACCAGGCAACGAGGTCTGACTGGAAGCAGTCAATCAACACAAATATAAAGCAAAGTCCAATTCTGTTGCAAAAAGTCCCCTGTCTGCTCCAAAAATGGATATGGCAATACCATAGTCAGAAAAGGTATCTACTACAGTCCATGACCAATGGTACACTTGAAACAGAAGCAGAATACCAGCTCTAGTGTTTCTGACTATGGGACACAGCGATCCACTTTACTTGACTGCAGTCGGCGCTCTGCACATTTCCAAGATTCCATGGCCTCGGGCAATGGAATCTCTCTGGGTCTTGTTTTGAGCCAGGTCCCAAATTATAAATTAACATGCCTTGTTGCACAGACTCTCTGTTTAGCACTGGTCCTAATCTGGGCATGACACAGTTGATGAGCTTCTTGGTTCTACAGAATTTCCCTCAAAGGGTTCTTATCTATGGTCATATAACACATGAATAGATGGTATGCATTTTTAGTGTTCTGCTGATAATGTTCTTTCCAACAAAGGCTAAAAATTGATCATCTAGCCTTTCAGCTGCTAGCCACCAGCCCACACTACCAGAACATTACCAGCTGCACCTAAGTCAGTAAAAATGCAGCAAGATTCCTTTGGGTGCTTATTCTCCAAGACAAGTCTCATATCCTAAACTCCACTAACTGAGCAGAATTCCCATTCCAGGCACAATTGCAAATGGTTTTCTTTGATGTTATGCAGGTACACTGGCCCACATCCCTCACTGGATTTTAATTTAGTTGATAAATCCACAAACCAGGCCTAGGCATCCACAAGAAACTTGGTGTACCAAAGACACCAAGAAGCCTGACCTGATGTCCCAGCCCCTGCATCTAAGACAACCATACCTGGAGAGTGACTGGGTACATTTTCCTGGAGCTGTGAGACACCATTAATGCCCAGTTAACTTCTTTCCTCGATGTAGTGCTTCCATGTAAACACGGAGACTCACTGGGCCATAACCACTTCATGGGATTCTCATTTTACCAATCCTTTGATAGAGATGTGAGGGTGTAAAAACCGCTGCTCTTGGGGCACCTGGGGGGTTCAGTCATCAAGCGTCTGCCTTCGGTTCAGGTCATGATCCTGGAGTCCTGGGATCGAGTCCCGCATCCGGGTTCCTGCTCAGCGGGAAGCCTGTTTCTCCCTCTCCCACTCCCCCTGAATACTGTCAGAACTGATAAATGAGTGCTTCAGCAGCACATATACTAAAATTGGAACAATATGGAGAATATTAGCATGGCCCTTGGACAAGAATGACATGCAAATTCATGAAAAATTCCGTATTTTTGAGGCTTTGACACCTCTAGACAGACTTAGGTACTCTCTGGTGATAAACTCTTAAATGCTTTGTGTATTTTCTCAATTAGATCTCTTTTCAGAAGTGTCTGTAGAACAATAAAAATATTTGGCTTGTGAAAAAAAAACTGATAAATGAATTCAGTAAAATCACAGGATACAAAGTAAATGTACAGAAATCTGTTGCATTTCTATGTGCCAATAATGAAGCAGCAGAAATCGGCTGTAGCAAATTCAGGATACAGACCTGACTGTATCCCAAGATATTTTTTATATATATATATATATATATATATATATATATATATATATACACACACACACACACACATATATATATATTACATATACATAAATATATAATCAGCCCTTAACCTGTGTTAAATTGCCTGTAGCAACTTCTTTGAAATTATATATATTTTACATATATAATATATATGTACATACATATATATAAATATATAATCAGTCCTTAACCCTTTATCATAACAGCTGTAGGAAATGTGTAAAAGGGCAGCACTCTAGACCAGTCTGGAATTTCGCCACCTGTAGACAGTCACAGATGGGTTTTGGGAAGTCACTTTCTTCATCAGCAAAATGTGGGTAACAATGATAGTGATTTCAAAAGGTGAATGTAGGGACTGAATGAGAAACTACACTTGAATGTCATTAGCACTGTGCCTAACCCACAGTAAGACTCCAATGTTAGCCATTTATAAAAATTCTTATTTTGTGATGATTACATCTTGTCACCAATTTTTTGCAGCAATTTGCCAGCATACAAGTTGCCATGGATAGGAAACAACAGATGTTGGAGAGGATTCCCACTGCTGGTGGGAATGCAAGCTGGTGCAGCCACTCTGGAAAACAGTGTGGAGGTTCCTCAAGATGTTAACAATAGTACCCTACCACACAGCAATTGCACTACTGGGTATTTACCCCAAAGATACAGATGTAGTGAAAACAAGGGACACATGCACCCCAGTGTTCATAGCAGCAATGTCCACAATAGCCAAACTGGAAAGAGCCAAGATGCCCTTCGATAGATGAATGGATAAAGATGTGGTACATATACACAATGCAATATTATTTAGCCATCAGAAGCAATGAATACCCACCATTCGCAATGAGATGGATGGAACTGGAGGCGATTATGTTGAGTGAAGTAAGTCAAACACAGAAAGACTATTATCATATGGTTTCACGCATATGTGGAACATAAGGAATAGCACAGAGGACCATAGGGGAAGGGAAGGAAATCCAAAGGGGGAGAAATCAGAGGGAGATGAACCATGAGAGACTGTGGACCCTGAGAAACAATCTGGGGGTTTCAGAAGGGAGGAGGATGGGGACAGGAGGTAATAGGGTGACGGGTATTGAGGAGGGCATATGCTATGATGAGCACTGGGTATTATACTTAACTAATAAATCACTGAACACTGCATCAAGGACTAATTATGTACTGTATAGTGGATAACTGAACATAGTCTTTAAAAAAAAAAGAGGGGTTCCTGGGTGGCTCAGTGGGTTGATCCTCTGCCTTCAGTTCAGGTCATGATCTCGGGACCCTGGGATCAAGCCCCGCATTGGGCTCTCCGCTCAGCGGGGAGCCTGCTTCCCCCTCTCTCTCTGCCTGCCTCTCTGTCTACTTCTGATCTCTCTGTCAAATAAATAAATAAAAATAAAATCTTTTTTAAAAGATTAAGAGAAGGTGATATGGTAGATTTGTAACTACTTCCCTGATAATATTTTAAACATGAATCACTATAAACACAAAAAAATAAATAAAACAACACAAGAAACAACAGGTGTTGGTGAGAATGTGGAGAAAGGGGAACCCTCTTACACTGTGATGAGTGCAGAACAAACTGTGCAGTCACTCTGGAAAACTGTATGGAGTTTCCTCAAGAAATTAAAAATAGAATTCTCCTATAGCCCAGCAACTGCACTACTGGGTATTTACCCAAAGGATACAAAAATACTAATTCAAAGGGATACACATACCCCAATATTTATAGCAGCATGACCTATAATAGTTAAATTATGGAAACACCCCAAGTGTCCATTGACTGATAAATGGATAAAGAAGATATGGTAGACAGATACGACGGAATATTACTCAGCCATAAAAAGGAATGAAATCTTTCCATTTGCTACAACGTGGATGGAGCTGGAGAATATTATGCTAGGCAAAATAAGTCATTCAGAGAAAGACAAGTACCATATGATTTCACTCAAAAGTGTAATTTAAGAAATAAAACAAACAAGCAGAGGGGAAAAACTAAGAGACAGACAAATCAAGAAACAAGATTCTTAATTACAGAGAACAAACTGATGGTTATCAGAGGAAAGGTGGGTGGATGGCGAGTGTGTGGAATAGATGATAAGGATTAAGGAGTGCACATGCTGCGATGAGCACAGGGTGATGAACACAAGTGTTAAATTACTATATTGTATTCCTGAAACTAATATAATGTTATATGTTAACTAACTGAAAATAAAATAAAAACTTCAAAAATTTTTTAAATAAAAAACAAAGTGAAATAGAGGTGCCTGGGTGGCTCAGTTGATTAAGCATCCAACTCTTGATTTCAGCTCAGGTCATGATCTCAGAGTCATGAGATTGAGCCCTGCATTGGGCTCCACACTGGGTGTAGAGCCTGCTTAAGAGTCTCTTTCCCCCTAATGATGTACTATATATTGGCTGACTGAACATAATAATAAATAAAAAATAGGGGCGCCTGGGTGGCTCAGTGGGTTAAAGCCTCTGCCTTCAGCTCAGGTCATGATCCCAGAGTCCCTGAGATCATGACCCGAGCTGAAGCAGACGCTTAACTGACTGAGCCACCCAGGCACCCCATACCAAGTCTTTTTAAAAGGGTTTTAAATAGGGTGCCTGGGGGCACCTGGGTGGTTCAGTCATTAAGCCTCTGTCTTTAGCCCAGGTCATAATCCTGAGATCCTGGGATCAAGCCCCAAATTAAGCTCTCTGCCAGTGGGGAGCCTGCTTCTCCCTCTCCCTGTACCTGTGATATTTAGTATCAGGAGTTGTACTAAGGCTTTATATTTATCACCCCATTTCAGTTTCACACATAGTGAGGGTCATGAAATACCTCTTGCCTATGATAGAGAAAACTGAGAGTCAGAGAGATTAAATATCTCTCCCACTGGCACAGAATCAATAAACAGTAGGTTTCAACTGGGAGTAAGAAGTTTTTCAATATTCAGGAGTTGGGGGTTATGATTATTATTCTAGATTGGGTTTCTAACCACTTGGAAATGACCATAAGATAGGTTATTTAAAAGTAAGCCAATAAGTGCTGGAACTTCCTGAGATTTCTTCCCATACATAAGAACAGATCCCCAAGCCAGTTTTCACACGTAAAGAGAAGTTACTTTCCCTTTATGCCCATTAAGGTAACCTCAGCAATAACACAATTACAGTCACAGCGAACAAATTCCCATCAGAATACACTCCCAATCAACTGGACAGGCGGGCCATCATAGTGAGGACTGTGGGAAGGGACTCCATTCTGGACTATTTGAAAGCCCAAGGCAGGAGGTTACATTGTATGATGACTTCTCATCTATGAACAAACTTACCATTCTAGTATCTTTTAATTAGACATTGAAAATATGAAAAATAAAAAGGCTTCCTGAGAAAATCCATTAGTACAACAAATTCCCTGGCTTGACACTGGGAGGAGAATGTCCCACTGGAGATGATCCTTCAAGAATAAACAGAGGGCTTCCAACCCAGAGAGAGGCTGAATGCAGCCACCTATGTCACCGGCTGTGCATGCAGCCTGGTGACCCAGAAATGGACGGAGTGTAGGGACGCTGCGTTACATCCATAGTATACCCACTGTGTCTTCCTGGATTTCTCCCAGTTCAGCCCACTTTTCTCCTGCCCTTTCCCTTTTTGCTTGTTGTCTCTTTTCCCCTATGCCTCTTGGATACTCAAGATTGAGTTGATTAATAGCTACCAAAAAATTCAGTGGTTCTCACACTGACAGCTAGATTCCAATCACAAGGACACTTTTCTAATGATGGCTGGGCTGGGAAAATCCTAGTGGAATCTATTTCCACATACTCATCTTCTGTACATGTCATTTCCTAAATTAGATCTGCCCTCAAATGACCATGGAATACATACAGGTTCTCCTCCCATCCTTTTCACTATCAACTTGTCCCATTTTAGCCTGCAGAATCAACTATATTTTTCCAAGAATCCACTGCAGCCTTAGAAGCCTCTGGAACTAAGAGGTTAAAAATTTCATCAAGTTGAATTTGGCAAAAGTAACTGACATCTTGAATGCCCACTCCATGCGGGAGCTGACACGAGAGCCCAATCAAGAGGTATCTGACATGCCACCACCATTTCATTGTGAATTTGGGATCACACTTCCTACCTGACCACAGGACACCTAACTTGTCATGACCCAGAAGGCAGTACAAGTACAAATAGGGGGAAATGGTTTTTGCAAAATTCCAAGACCACACGTGGATTGACTAGACGCTGGAAGCTACAGTGAATTCAAAAGCCAACAAATACCAATCTTTTCAGGGGGCCTTAAAAATATAAAAGATGCTCTCAGAGAATATTCACTAGTCTAAATACCTAACTTGAACATTAATGGAAAGGAGATAATCCAATATGAAATTCTGACAACAACCAGAAGACTTCTAGTCCAGGGAGAGCTGAAGGAAGTCAGTATTTGGCAGGGTCTGTGTACACGCTGACATCTCAGAATTATGGGGTGAAGGAACACTGGCTTGCCCCCACTTTTGAAATATGTAAAGTAGGTAAGGAAATATACCCATGGTACCTACAATTAAGGGTACAATGAAAGAAAGAGCTACCGGTCAGACACATCTCTGAAAGTCTGTCTTGAACTGAATACTGAAAGTAACTCATCCTGTGATAATAAACATTGCCTGAGGCTCCCAAACCCAAACAATAAATGCCTAGAACTCTATATTATAAGGTGA